GACAGAGAGTAAGATAGCGAGAACGAGAGAGCTAGTAAGAAAGAGAGAAAGAGCTAGAGCGCGCGAGAGAAGGAGAGAGAGCGGAACAGTCGGAGAGGCAGCTGGAAAAACAGATGCCGTATGATGGTCATATCATAGAACAGCCCACAGTTTGCTCTGCAGCCGTGCTACCGTTGAATTAGCACTGGCCAGAGCACATTCTAAAATTGGCATCGCCGTCGGCTTCGCTTGACCAGTGCCACGAGTCAATGACACATATAACACTATAAGCTCCCATCACAGGTGCAGTTAACGTGTGTGCCTACTACTCGTGATAACACGTACGCGTTCTATAGGTGCGTCAAAATAATCACCCCCGCGTTTCCTGGTAGGCTATATAGCTGTACGTGCCTGCCGGCGGTGATGACTCAGACTCATGTATACTCATATACCCGTTCGTTGTGCGTTCGCTTTATTTAGTGACGATGTATGGCACCGACCACGACGGGAGCAGAGTGACTGGCAGCTACTGCACATCGCGTCTCGCCGATTTCGTTTTGGATCCCGACGTGGCCAGCATTCGTTCCGTAAGCAGCGTTAAGTTATCTTTTTTTACGATGTTTTATTTTTATTTCGGTACATTTTCATCTATGGCTCTATGTGTTAGAAATACTAGCTATACGATCAGGTAACGCAGCGGTGCAAGCTTAGATACTCAATTCCTTGTGCTCGAGTAAGAAATTGTGCTTTGTGTTGGGTACTATAATGGTCACAGATGGTCAAACGAATGTTTCAATCGATAAACCCATGACTAATTGGCATTCAACTCTGTATTGGTGTATTATAAACTGCCGTTTATGTTGAGTCGGTTTCCACAGCGCTAAATATTTTAGTAGTGTCATAGCCAGAGGGTTTGTGTCATATTCATGCTCTTGGGTGTTGTCTCTCATGTTTCGCTGCTACTCGTCTGCCGGCCTGTAATTAAAGAGGCAAGTAGGACATCGGCCCTTTACCTGAACTAAACGAGAATACTGGACCGTCTTCTACATGTATTCTGCACCACATGTGGCTAACCGTCGGTCACTGTATTAGAATTTGTCATTGAGTAGACAGGTTTGGGTAAGACTGATGAGGTCTTGATGATTCTAGTATAACATTTTTATATATTAGAGCGTAACGTGTAAGTCCACTTATGTGTTTGGTGCGGTCTGTTCATGGGGTTCATGGTCGTTCGTTATGGGGAAAACCTTAAATTGTAAAAAAGGTCATGCATTTCAGTTCAGCAACTTAAGAAAATTCTGCTATAGCGAAATTGGGCGTCTAGAAAATTACTTTAAATACATGGTATACCTACACCTGACACACGTTATTCACTTTTCACTTTATTTCACGCTAGAAATCTAGTATATATATGGACGTTTTTGCACCCGTACTATATTGCTGTATTCGTTCCATTTCATTACTATTAAAGTGCCATCTTTCTTATACATCGGCATACCGAGTTGATGTGAGAGTGAGTGCAATGAAGCGCAAATTTTGCTCGTAAGGTATCGCCCATAGATGGTAGCGCTGATGTCGTTATAGGCGAGTAGTAAACTTGTAACCCGTAACCCCGTAACCCGTTTAGTTTGGTAGATTACTGTTCGCGCTATTTTTCAGTGAAAGTAAGTGAACCTTCGCCTCGTCAACTTCTTTCGGCGAAGTTGCAATAGGTTGTATCACAGATCGTTATTAATATTATTATTATTATTATTATATATGTATATGTATGGTCATACCGATTTTTTTAATATTTATTCATATTTTCATACCTCTTTCATTCTCCAGGGAAACGCAGCGGCGCAATAAGTGTGCGCGTGGTGTTTGTGACTGTGTACGTGCGTCGTATTTGCGAGCGCATGCGCCTGGGTGTGTGTCTGTGTGTGCTTGCATGTTTGAGCGTCTTATAATGACTCCTATATTGCAATATCTTCTTGCATTCTTGCCAACAGTTTCTGGCCGAGCTGCATCACGAAACCTCCGTTACTAGATGGTGCTGCCCCCTGGATGACGCACAAAAATTTATGCTGAGAAGCGAAGTATTTCATGACGAGCCAGCTGCCGTGCTGTCGTATTACGAGGTATGATAGATATATTGCTGAAGCTCTTTGAAAGGTTATAAAACTGTAGCCTAGCTGCATATATATATACAATACAAACATGTATATATATGAATGTATATGCTATATGTGCTTTATCCTACTTGCGTGTGCAGCCGTCACCCTAAAACCCAACCTGTTATTATAGTATTTCTGATCTATCTAGTTATGGCTTTATAGTATTATACTCTCTATTTTTGCTATTCTTTCTTCAACACATGTACGACGCACACGTTTTTTTTATCTTGATAAAAATTCGAGTGAAGTTTTCTAGTTTTACGTATGTTGAAGGAAATGTACTCGGATGCACGACGGTGTACGTGGCACAGAAGGTTCAAGAAATGTATTTGTGTATAGAAGTCTTCTTGCAAAAACCCCACAGCAAAATAACATATTTAGGACTTGTAGCCTGCGCGTGACCTGTGTACCTTAAAGCAATTCGCTCCATGCTTACCAGTCTGTGTACCAGTCTCAAATGATGGCATGCACTACAACAAAGTATTACCTTAATTATTTCATATAATTTACAGATATATGACAAACTAAAGGAACGGTTGCCCACGATCTGGGATAGCGGGGAACTCAAGGCCGATGAATGGTTCTCCATTTTTGGTCAGAACTGCCCTGTTAGACAGGTAAACCTTAGCACAAGATGTAAAACCTATAGCGTTGAAATGTATATACTTTTTAATTAAAGTCTGTAGCCCCTCACGTGGCTATTGATATATATCATGAGTACATAATAATGGAAGGTATTATGGTATATAATGTATCTAATCCAACTACTATGTACACTACGAAATATATACAGTTTCTAAATATTTGTCTTAACGTATATTATATTATCTTTTCTGTAAGGGGGCGCCAGCAGTAAGCTGCTGAAGATAATTGCATACAGGCAGCTTAGCACGTTAAATTGGCTGCGACTAGGGACAGCGCGTCTCCCATGGTACCGAATTCTCTCCCTAGAGGGCCTTATTATTATTATTTTTAATTAGGGATAGGGTTAGGGTTAGGATTAGGGTTAGGGTTAGGGTTAGGGTTAGGATTAGGGTTAGAGTTAGGATTTGGGTTAGGGTTAGGGTTAGGGTCAGGGTTAACTGATTTTATTAATTGTTAATTAATAATGCGCCATCTAGCGGATCACTATCTCTCACATGAAACCTACTATTTCGGGCTTGGGAGACGCGCTGTCCCTAGTGGCACCCGTTAAATTTGTCTGATACCGTGACTCTCTCCTTGCCAAGCGCTTCCCCGTGGGAAATGTTTTTTTTCTGCTCATTCTGGTTTAACCTTTGTTAAATGACAAAACATTTCGTTAAATTCAGTAAATTTATACTATCGGCTCACATTTCTCTTTATGTCTTTCTACAGGCGAATTTTCTTCGAGATTCTGGCATAGCTGGCGCCATCGCGTGGGCACTTGACACAACTGACGTTAGCGATGTCTATAGTAACATTGTGTGTCCGCCCTGGCAGGCAATAACGCGTGCTTCTAGTACTATCGGCGGGAGATTTGTTGAGGTTGACTACAGCGATGGTGATGTTTACCCTCAGCCGTGGTCATCAAAGGTTCTCAACATCGCTACGGGTTACGGGACGAATAACGGACTTGCGATTCCTTATTCATGTAGCGTCGCTAACAACACGCCTCATGCTCAACAACAGTGTGCCTTGAACGCAAAGTCCAAGCGTGTCCCGTGGGGTACTCAAGTCACGCGCATTAAACCGGTTAAATCCGACGAAATTTCGTCATCACCAGACAATTCTACCGACCCGACATCGACTGATTGTCAGGTAAAGGTCAGCGGCGCAAATAGCTCGACCACTCTCGCCGCACCCACTGCGCGCAAACCTGCGAAGACCGGACAAAAACCCAAAGCGAAATCGGTGAAGATGGTGGACAAATCTACGCAGACGTCGTCCTTCCAGCTGTACGTGAGAAGGTCGTCTTCGCGGACTCCGTCTCCGGTTCCCGCCGCGCTGAGACTGAGGGAAGCCGAGATGCGGAGGCGGCAGGGTGCGCGCGCATCGTCTGACGTCATCGTTAGGTCTCCGCCTGCCATGGCAACCAAAGACCTGCTCGCGCTCGAGGAGGACACAACGAAAGCAATCTTCTCGGACCTGGTGAACGAGATGTTCCCGGCCGTAGATTGTCGAGACGAGAGCACGAACCTGTTCAGGTCGCTGAATTCACGGCAGCAGCAGCGCTGCATCGTGATGGTTGTGACTCTACTCGTGATTTTCTTCTCGATCGTTGTCTGACTGCCGTGAGCTCGAGACACGCGATTCCGAGCACTTACGGTCGCTTCACTTCCAGGATATATATATATATGTATATGTATATATATATATATATAGTCATGTGATCGAACGAGCATTATTACGCGTGCACAACGTCACCATGTGAAGTGAACACCGTGTTTGCATAGCTAATTATGCAAATCTAACGGTGTACGCCGTGGTGAAGCTCAAACTCAGGATTATTAGATAAATAGTCATTATCCACTACCGTGTAGTTGTAGCAACGTAGATTCTAAATACTATCATTATATATCCCATCCGCCAAAACAATACCCACTGTGATAATGAGTTTGTGTGCGAATATTACGTAGTGTAGAACCACGGTTATAGAGTTGAGTAATAACAGCTTACAATTTTTGATTACCCTGATGTTATGACATGAATTTTTACTAGTTTGGCACAGACCTAGCATTTGTTAGCATCGCGTCGTGTAATAGATTATCGCGTGTGTGTATGTGTATGTGTGTGCGTGCGTGTGCGCGCGTGTGAGTGTGTGGTGTGTGTGTGTGTGTGCGTGTACGTGTGCGCGCGTGTGAGTGCTGTGTGCATGTGTGTGTGTGTGTGTGCGTGCGTGCGTGCATGCATGCGTGCGTGTGTGTGTGTGTGTGTGTGAGTTGGTGTTTGCGTGCGTGTACGTGTGCGTGCGTGCGTGTTTGTGTGTGCATGTGTGCGTGTACATGGGCGTGGGTGTGTGTTTGTGTATGCATGTGTGCGTGTGTGCGTGTGTGTGTTTGCGTGCGTGCCGCGGTGTTGGGTGACGATGCGGCACATGTGCGTGCACACGGTGCGTGAGAGACTGCTCGCGTGCTTCACGCAGCATCCAGCAGCTGTTCCGAAATTTTAATCCGGGATTAATGCCTGATTCATCCGGGCGCGACTGTGATTGACTGATCGATCGATTGATTGATTGATTGCTTGTAGGTGATTAATGGCGATTGCTAGTGTAGAAAGTTATATTGCGACGTGTGTGCGAGAGCGTTCTACTTCGATTGTGACGGCGCAGGGTTTAGCTTTACCGATATATATAGTTATGCTGTTAGTCGGTGCTTGTGATGTTGTACAGAAGAGTTTATATGAGTATGCGGTGCTTAGAGCGCATATTTCCTCGTGTGAGACATTAGACCGGTACTTGATACTAGTTTAAAAAAATTGATGTGTGGTTACCGTTGTGAGACATCATATATATAGAGTTACGAGTTGCGTTTGATTGACGCTTAATCTATACGGTATATTTTTACAATGATTATGTAAATACGATTATGTGATTGTTACTAAATAATGCACTAAATCAACATCATGTTAGATACATAAACAGTTTTTTGTTATTATTTATTGTTTTTGTTGTTATCTTTACTTTTATTGTCGTGTTGTTTTTGGTGTGGTTGTAGTTGTCATTTTTGTTGTTGTTCTTCCTTTCTAAATATTTTGTTTCAATCGTTAGTCGCTAGAGAAAGTTGTGATGGCGGGCGATTCCCCCTACTATATATATAATCAGGAGTTAATATATATATGTTATATCAGGAGTTAATAATGACAAATTTGTCATTATTTATATATATAATATATATATATATATATATTATATTGCATGATCTTTCCAATAAATACTGTAACGCGACTATCACACGGTTATGCTATTATTTAACAATTACAGTTTATGTGTTCTTGATAGTAGTACGCACAATCGCAGCACTAGCCTCTGTCAGATGAATAATTTTATTTCATCGAGATGAATAACCAGCTTTCCTCTCGACATAGTCTTAACGAGATATACATTTATATTATTGCCAAACATGACTTTTTAAATTGACTTTTTATAAGACACGCTGACTTTTTATAATCACGCTCATATATTTTTTGACTTTTTATAAAAAACATTGACTTTTTATAAATCCTAAGAGCTCGATCAACGTTTTTATGAAAATTTAGATCTCGCAGGGAAAAGAAGAGATAATCTATATCTATGTCTGTCAATATATGTAATTCCGACTAGAGCATTCATGATGCTCTCGTAAAAACCGATCAGTTCTCTCGCTACGCGCGCACGGAATGGGGCGTTTATGTACGAATTCCAGTAAGGCAACCCAACGCGGATATTTATTTATCCAACGAGCAAACAGTAACGGAAGATACAAATTGTGGTTGCCCGCGAGGCGATGGCGGTAATACAATAAAACAAACCATTCACAGTTTACCTATATCTACATGGAGACCAATAATATTTATATCGTTTCACCACAATTTCTCGGGGGGGTTTTTTGTAAAGAAAAGCGCATTTTACTTTCCGGATATATGAAAATTCGCAAGTTCATTTGAGGAAGTAAGATATCGCATGTAAGAAATGCACACCCTAAATATCACCGCAGGCATAATGATTCGGCCCAATTAACATTATGGCGTGTATGTTGTCACAGTATAATCTTTAATTAGCTTAATCTTTTAATGAAACAGGTTGAGTCGAAAGTTATGCGAATGACATGCATTTCGTCTCGGCACCAGTACCATCTGTTACCTACTTTACCATCTGTGACAATAAAATGGTTGAAACACAAAATAGTGTGACAACAATAAAAGTCTTAGTTGAAAAAACAAGCAGAAAACAAAAAGTGTCGCGCCTTTACCGTGGAATTTATGACTTTGAAGTATGCTGCGTGGGTCGTACGGTACGGCATCGGATATTTACAACCCGATTACTGTGATGTTCTCCACTTCTACAACAGCTGTCGCGGATGCGCTAGCATCTGCATAATTATGATGGGTCATCTGTTTACACCGAGTCTTGGCGCTAGACTACGGATATGAGCAACCGAAGGACAGACCAGAGCTTTGGTAGTATTCAGCGTCGGAGAAAATGAAGACTTCTAACATTTTGTTGTAGATATATATATATATATATATGATATAAGAACATATTTCACGTAATAGGAAAACTATTTATTAACCCTTTTAGGTTCTTGTCTCCAAACAACCATGGGGTTATGCTAAAAACGCCATTCGAAAACGTGTGTATCGGACAAAAGCCGTCACCAACCTGGTGGTAATCCACAGTACTATTCAATTGATACATGTGATATATGCAGTAAACATTCACAATAACCACGTACACGCACGCACGCACGCACGCCCGAGTGCCCGCCCGTACAGGCCCTAAACACGAGCACGTCAGTTCCGTAGCTATAGTAAACTAATTAGATCATAAAAATTATACACATTTACAAAAATCATATATACTATAAATGGAAGTGCCGGGAAAGCCAAATGGCAAAGTAACAGCTCTACAGAATCTGCGCACGCGCAAGCTTTTTAGAGTTGCATTGCATTTAATGGCTCTATCGGAGCAAAAGTCGAGATCGTAGTATTTAGACAAGGTGATTTATGTGGCAGCAATACGGCGTCAACGTCAAATTAAACGTGAAATATTACCATTCCTATGTTCGAAATCGGGTGAAAAATATACCACCATGCAGTGTTACGCAAACGGGTTCAAAATCCACGTACCCACCTTGCCTACATCTACTGTGGGTACACATGATCGTGCAACGTAGATGAGCGAGCTCTACTGTTTACAACTGTCGCTATACCTATTTCTTTGTGCGATAGCTGAGACGCGTAAAGATGAATCAGCAGAGCACGATATTATATATTAGGGCTTTTAGAGAGATTGTGAACACGTACGTGCGCTGCAGCTGAATGGCAGTCACTCTCTCATCGCAGCTAAGCTCTCTCGGGCGCGAAAAGCAGCTCTTGTTTCTAACGCTTCAGTGAGTTCTAGACGCTCTCTCTACTCCCTCATAAAACGCGGCGGTAGCTGTATTCCTTCCGCCCACGTACGCGGATGATGGCGAAGGCGACGGTCCGCGCAGCAACGTACCGAATGCTCATATCTCCGCGTGTTAGTCATAGCCGAGTCCATGTCGGCGTACGGGAACACTATACGGGTTCTACGTATCCGATCGGTTTTTTCAGCAACTAAATGTGACAAGGCTGGTATTCGGCGTGTTTCCAGACCCGACATCCGAACGATTTACGCGTCTATGGACGTAGGCGCGCGCACATCGGCTTATATATTATCAAGAAAGAACGTTCAGTAAAATCACGCTATCATTCAGTAAAAAATGTCGTTTCTTCGCAGGTTGTGATCACGCAGGCACCTTCCCCGCTCCCATTTTTATATTCCTCCCGGGCGGAAAATAGCGCAGTCGCAGGGGAGGGAGACACGGCGAGCTAGAAAGAGAGGAAAATAAAAAGAACGTAGGAGCGAGTGTGAGAGAGGGATATGAAGATAGAGGGAGCGAGAAAAAGAGAGAGCGAGAGAGAGCGAGAGCGAGAGAGAGCGAGAGCGAGAGAGAGCGAGAGCGAGAGAGAGCAAGAGAGAGCGAAAGAGAGAGAGAGAGAGAGAGAGAGAGAGAGAGAGAGAGAGAGAGAGAGAGAGAGAGAGAGAGAGAGAGAGAGAGAGAGAGAGAGAGAGAGAGAGCGAGAGAGAGAGAGACAGAAAGAGAGAACGTGCGCGGGATAAAGAGAGATGGGGGTGGGGGGAGAAGTGAAGAAAAATACAAAAAAGGTAGATGGATAGATAGATAGATAGAAAGATAGATAGATAGATAGATAGATAGATAGATAGATAGATAATCAGATAGATATAGATAGATAGATAGAATAGATAGATAGATAGATAGATAGATTAGATAGATAGATAATAGATAGATAGAATAGATAGATAGATAGATAGATAGATTAGATAGATAGATAGATAGATGGATATGGCAGATAGATAAGATAGAAAAAATAGATAAATTGAATAGATAGATAGATAGAATAGATAGATAGATAGATAGATAGGTAGATAGATAGATAGATAGATAGATAGATAGATAGATAAATAGATAGATAGATAGATAGATAGATAGATAGATAGATAGATGAGATAGATGGATAAAGATAGATAGATAGATAGATAGATAGATTAGATAGATAGAGTAGATAGATAGATAGATAGATAGATAGATAAGTATAGATAGATAGATAGATAGATATAGATAGATAGATAGATAGATAGATAGATAGATAGATAGATAGATAGATAGATAGATAGATAGATGGATAAATGGATAGATAAATAGATCGATAGAAATAAAAATAGATAGATAGATGGACAGACAGGCAGATAGATAGAATAGATTTAGATAGATAGATAGATAGATAGATATGATAGATAGAAGATAGAAAAGATAGATAGATAGATAGATAGATAGATAGATAGATAGATAGATAGATAAATAGATAGATAGATAGATAGATAGATTAGATAGATAGATAGATAGATAGATAGAATAGATAGATAGATAGAATAGATAAGATAGATAGATAGATAGATAGATAGATAGGATAGATAGATAGATAGATAGATTAGATAGATAGGATAGATAGAGTAAGATAGATAGATAGAATAGATAGATAGATAGATTAGATAGATGAGATTGGAGGTAGATAGTTATACATAGATAGATAGATAGGTTGATATAGCGCGAAAAGGAGAGCGTTCACGAGAGAGAGAGAGAGAGGGGGACTGAGAGAGAGAGAGAGCGCGAGAGAGACGCGACAGCTAAAGAGGACGAGCTACACACAAGAACACACACACACACACACACACAACACACACACACACACGCAGAGAAGCTCGCGTCTCACACCCCAGGAATGCCGGATGATTTAGCCGGCACCGGCAGGCAGCTGCCTTCACCAATCTTGCGCTCTCACTCACGAGTCTTGTCTCCCCGATCTCGCTCTCCGGCCTTGGGCGTCGAAAATCGCGCGATCACGAAAGCTGGAAAGCTGCTGATGGTTGCCTGTAAAATGAGACGCGCTTCGGCGGGGCAGCCTAATATAGGCAGCGAGGTCGCGGCGAAGTTCAACCCTGCGGGGCGCACAAATGAGAGATCCAACTCTCGTCGAGGCGTTTTGCGTTCGCGTGTCGAAACGATTTCGGCTGCGACCGCGATCATTCAATCTCGTAAATTGACAAGCAGGCTTTTACCTGAGTGCGCGTTCGTGCTGAGTGCGCGCGTGCGACCGCGAGTGTGTATGTGCTCGCGTGCTTGCGCGCGTATGTGTTTATGTGCACTTGTGTGCGCCTGTGTGTGCGTGCTCGTGGGTGCGCATGCGTGCATTTATGGGCGTGCGTGCGTATGCGTGTGTGCACTATAGGGTCGCGGCGCGTGTTAACAGAATAAATGGGGAAACACGTTAGGTACGCATTACGGGCACGTGAACCTAAGGTACCTCCTAGAGTTTAGTACGTGAATGCAAGCGAATTCACGTTGCTGACTTATTATTGGCAAAGGCGCACCACATCTCGATATACGCTTCGCTGCGATTGCCCATGAATGCAAATATACATCGTGAATGTCTCTCGCATGTGAAATATGGCGATACGCCGCGGCAGAGCGGCTGCAGCTGTATATATGGAAGATCTGGAAGACATCAAATATGGGATCAATTACGCAAACAGGCAACGCAACTTACGCGGTAGCTGCCACTGCTGCTACTGCTGCTACTGCTGCTACTGCTGCTGCTACCGTCGCCGC